AGGACACTTATTGTCATGTAACAGTCTATCTAGCTCACAGATGTTTCCTATACTCTGCCGTTGGCACAGACCACTACCAGTGTTGAGTTCTGCCATTTGGCTTATCAACAGCTTGAAGAGTCCTTTCCAAGTCACTGGCAGCAGTCATAGCTCAGCTCCAATTCATCTCATACAGCACAGTAGGGATATGCCTCCAAATTCTTGGCCATATGGCTGCCACAACATATGTCGTTATGTTTGCAAGGTTACATATGAGATGCTTTCAGACCTGGCTTGCCACTGTACATGTCCCTTCTAGAGATCCCCTACACAAAAAGATATCTGTCCCACAATTTGTACTTTCTTCTCTAGACTGATGGCCCAATATACTCCAAGGGGTTCCCTTTCATCAACATGCACCAGTTTGCACCATAACTGCAGATGCCTCCCTCCTGGGTCAGGGAGTACATCTAGAGAGTGACACCGCCCATAGAAAGTGATCTTTTCAAAAAACCAAGTTACACATCAACATACTGGAACTCAGAGTGGTCTGCAATGTCTGCCAACACTTCCTCCTATATATCCAGAACAAGTGATCTGAATCCTTATGGACAACATCACCTATATCTACTATAGCAATCACCAAGAAGGGGCCTGATCAAACGTCCTCTGTACAGAGGCAGTTAAGCTATAGAACTGATGCATCCAACACTGTATCACAGTCACAGTGACTTACCTGCTCAGGTCCCTCAACACCATGCACACGCTCTTGGCCATATGTTTTCTGAACAACACCAGTGGGAGATAAATGCTATTGCTGTTCACAGCATATTCCACAGCTGGGGATACCCTCAGATTGACTCTTTGTGATCCTTACAACTGCAAATGTTGCCTCTTCTGCTCCAGAATGGACCTTGGGAAAGGGTCACTTGACAACACCTTCCTTCTCTAGTGGAAAGCACCTCTCCTATATGGTTTCCCCCAATACTCCTTATTCTCCATGTTATTCAGAAAATATGAGAAGACCAAGCACATATCATACTCATAGTACTATCATGGTCAAGACAAACTTGGTTTCCATACCTTGGCTGACTAGCTTTCTGCAAACTCTGCCATAACACCCTAATCTCCTGTTTCAGGATCATGGTTGCACACCACATCTAGACCTAACAATGCTGCATCTCAAGGCATGGTTACTCCATGGCTCCATGATGCTGAAAACATCTGCTCAGATAGAGTGAAACAAATATTAATAAATAGCCCATGCCTCACTACCAGGCATACTTACACATACAAATGGAAACAGTTCTCCCTATAGTGCCAATGCAGGCAACACATTTCACCCACCGCAATACCTCTCTCTGATATACTTGATATCCTATTGGACTTAAAGGAATCTGGGTTATTCCTTATCTCACTAAAAGTCCATCGAGCCACTATCACGGCATTTCATGACCAGAAGATGGCTTCTCTCATGCCATCACCAAGCGCTTCAGTATTGGCATTCAGAATACATCTCCCATGGTCAGACCTTCTACCCCAGCCTGGAACTTCAATGACGTCCTCAAGAGTCTCACAAGACCCTCTTTGAGCCAGTATCCACATGCTCTCTTCTTCACCTTTCTCATTGCAATGACATCAGACAGATGTGTTGGAGAAATAGCCGCCCTCATCCTCCCCATACACATTATTTTCACCAATTCAAGGTAACCTTATGACCTCATCCCAAGTTCCTCCCTAAAGAACTGTCCTTCCACATCAACAAACCGATTCACCTACCTACCTTCTTCCCTAAACCACATGACAATGCAGGCATCCCTCCATACACTCGACGTTTGATGGGCTATTATCTTCTACTTTGACAGAACTAAACCCTGAAGAAAGTCTATGAGGCTTTTCTTTTCAATAGCTCAGGGTATGTCTACACTACAAAGTTAGTTCGAACTAATGGACGTTAGTTCGAACTAACTTTCCTAGGCGCTACACTAACGCTCCGTTAGTTCGAACTTAATTCGAACTAACGGAGCGCTTAGTTCGAACTAGGTAAACCTCATTTTACGAGGGTTAAGCCTGCTTTTAGAGACCTCTATCCTGTCCCCCCTCCGTCTCCTCTTTTCTAAGCTGAACAGTCCCAGTCTCTGTAGCCTTTCTTCATCTGGGACCTGTTCCCAACCCCTGATCATGTTAGTTGCCCTCCCTTCTCCCAGCCTTTCTCTTCCCCTCTCCCACCTCCTTTTCCCAGTCTCCCCCAGTTTTTTTCAATAAAGACAGAGTCAATGTTGGAAGAAACGTTATCTTTATTTTGTACATCAATAAGAAGGGGGGCTAGGGAAGGGTAAGTGGAAGGAGGTGAGGGAGGAATGGGGTACGAGCCCCCGATGGGGACGACTGGGCTGGCTCTGCGGGCTTCTGGGGGTGGAAGCTCTCCTGCAGCCCCCCAATTGTCCCCTCTCCCCCGATGGCAGCCTGCGGCAAGTGCAGCCGGGCTGATATCCGAGTGGTGTGATGTGCCCAGTGTGGGTACTCCGGGCACTCCAAGCCAGAACTTCTTTGCAAGCGGGGCACCCCTTAGAACTGTGTGTCCGGGGTGGGGGTCGGGACCCTTTAAGCGCAGCCCTCGGCTAGCCTGAGATAGCATCTCCATGCTCTAAGTCCTCCTTTTATGCCCTGACTGCACTGCTTCCGGCCATCCTTAAGCCCTGTTCAGAGTCCACTCAATGTGGACTTGCTAGTTCGAATTAGCAAAACGCTAATTCGAACTAGTTTTTAGTTCTAGACGCGTTAGTTAACTAATTCGAACTAAGTTAGTCCGAACTAGCGCTGTAGTGTAGACGTACCCTCAGCGATTAAAGATCAGGGCATATCTCCCCAATATCTTTCTAAATGGATCTTCTTATGCATCCATACTTGTTATACCTCTCACAATAAACAACCACCACAAATAAAAACAGCTCATTCCTCCAGAGCTGTAGTCACAACTACAGCCTTCCTCAGTGATGTCCTACTGGCCAACATCTGTCGAGCTGCCACCTGTTCCTCCTACCATACCTTTGTTAAACATGTCATACCAACTGGACCAATCCCTGCAGCCATAGCAGGTCTAGCTGTACTCTCAACCCTGTCCGGAACACAGCTCCAAAGCCTACCTCCTGAAACCAGACACTGCTCTTCAGACACCTAGGTTACATCTACACTGTAGTCTTCTTGTGGAAAAGCTTATGCAAATTAAGCTTGGTGTGGAATATTGCCATGCTTCATTTGCTTAATTAATTAGCAGTTGTTTTTGTGCAAGAGGCTCCTTTTGTGCAAAAAAACCCCATGCGCAAAAACGGCTGTTCATTAGTTATGCAAATGAAGTGAGGTGATATTCCACACCGAGCTTCATTTAAATAAGCTTTTCTACAAGAAGGCTACAGTGTAGACATAGCCCTAGAGTGGAGCACTGACAGGGACCAGCACTTGAAGAAGAAGAGGAAGTTACTCACCTTGTGCAGTAATGATAGTTCTTCAAGATGTGTGTCCCTGTAGATGTTCCACTACCCTTTTTCCTCCCCTACTTTGGAGATCAGACAGCTCTTTCCACAATAGAGAAGGAACAGAGAAAGCCATATCACTCATGGAGTCAGCATACACCGATGGCTCTAACAGAAGCCAACTGCACATGTGTGACCAGGCAGGGGACTGCTATGAAAAGTCTCTGATTGCCAATGCGAGCACGCACCGACACCTAAAGTGGATCACCCACAGTGATATACATCTCAAAGAACCATCTTGACTGCACAAGGTAACTTCCTCTTATTCTACTTCTTCACTGTTCAAACACCATTGTGATTTAGATGCATGCTTAAAACTTGAGCATGTTATGATACAAATGAGGAGAAAAATTAATAGCTACACAATACATGTTAAATGATGAACTGGCAATATCTCCACACTCAAAAATGTTTGGATTATCTTGCATGATTCTAGCATTTGTATACCAGGCTGGGCGGGGGGGGGGACAGCAGTATCTACAAAGTTAGCTAAATAATGCAATTAAAACTCCCTTCTAGTGCCTAAATATCTTGTCTTTACTAGCAATGTTATAAGACACAAAATCTATCTCCCTTTTTTACTGCCTATTCTTTATTCTGTAGTCTTTTTTTCTGTCTTTCTATCATCATTATATTTTCTTTCATTTGGAAAGTTGGAAGCATTTCCCAGTAAAGTGGATGTCAATAGCTCACTGCATGAATCACCTTTTAAGAAGTATGAATCACAGTAGCTGTCCTCCTTCCCAACCTCATTCAAAACTGAAAAATACCACTTCTGCAGCACACCCTGTCTCTAACAGACTGAACTTTCGTCATTCTGTTCTGTTCCTAACGTCAAGGCCCCCATGAATAGCAGAGGAATTTTATTTAACTCCATCACTGGGTACTCTAATAAATGTAGTACATTTAAAGAGAGCACTAGCTTTACACTCTCTATGGGTATGTCTACACTACCCTCCTAATTCGAAGTAGGAGGGTAATGTAGGCATACCGCACTTGCAAATGAAGCCCGGGATTTGAATTTCCCGGGCTTCATTTGCTTGAAGCCGGCCGGTGCCATTTTTAAATGCCGGCAGTTCGAACCCCGTGCCGCGCGGCTACACGCGGCACGGAGTAGCTAGTTCGGATTAGGCTTCCTAATCCGAACTAGCTATACTCCTCATTCCACTTTGAATTAGGAGGGTAGTGTAGACATGCCCTATCTGTCTTTTATGTCATTGGGTTTTTTTCTTTGATTCCACCACATTGGTGGCAAGGCTTCTCTCATATTCTAAGGTACCAGGTAAAAAGAAGTATTAATTCCAGAAGCTGAACCCTTACCTTGTCCAGTGAGACCAGCATAGCCACAGTTTTAGATAAAACACAATGTGAGCCCTGTGGTTTAGTTATTTTCACTCGGAGCTTATACAGCATCTATACCAATACAGACTGTGACATTCCTCACAGTTGGAAATGTATTAAACACTGTTTTGTTTGATTTGCTTTCAGCCTGAGCAGCCATCATCAAACAAGTGGCAACTGGATAAGTGGCTAAATAAAGTTAATCCTCACAAAACACCTATTCTTAACCAAAATGATAACCATGGACTGGAGAGCAATCAGTATTATAGCAGGATAAAGGATAAAGGACAGGAGTGTGAGAAAATACCAGCTATTTGCCAAACTGACCTTAGAGACAAGGAAATTAAGAACCCCAGCAAAGAGGAGCTGAGGCTTAGAACTGCTAGTAAAGCACCAGGAAATAAAGGAGGGAAACAGAAATCACCTTCTACCACTGGGGCTGTTTCTGGAGACAGTGGCCCTCTGAAAAGGACGACTTGTAAAAAGCAGCCAAGAAGAACAGAGAGGACCTCTGGTGGGGATGCCTTGAACTGCCATGCATCTGAGGATCTCGCCTTGAGCCAAATATTTTTGGAAAATAACATCTGTGAACAACCTAAAGCCAGGCCCTACAGCAGCAGAACTGGGCACAGAAAGGAATCCCGCTCTGCCGCTGCATGCGAAAAGAGACGCACCAGAGGACCAAGCAAAACTGCACCCAAATCCAAGGAATTTATTGAGACAGAGTCATCGTCTTCATCATCATCTTCAGATTCAGAATCTGAACAAGAGGAATATCCTGTGCACAAACCTCAAACTGTGGCCTTTGCTTCAGGGGGAAACGACCAGAGGTTGAAGGACTCCGTGATCAGTAACACCAACAAAACTAACAGCAGCTGCAGTGCCTTTGGCTCCATTAATGCCAGGACTAGTAATGATATAGCAAAGGAGCTGGAGGAACAGTTTTACACGCTGGTTCCTTTTGGCAGGAATGAGCTCCTGTCTCCTCTGAAAGACAATGATGAGGTAAAATCACTGTGGGTCAAAATTGATTTGACTCTTTTGTCCAGAATTCCAGAGCATTTACCTGAGGAGCCATTGGCAATGAGCACTGGAGCAAAAGAAGAAGCTAGCCTTCAGCAGAGTAATAGTACAGACCCACCAGCAGAAAAGGTTGTGCCAAAATCCAGAAGGAAACGCAAGGTAAGCTGTATTGGGTTTCTTTGATTTTGGAGGGGCTGTACGGGAAAGCCTGTTTTGTGTATTCCTATCTGTCTGTCTATATGATCTATTTACCCAAACAGTATAACGTGTATGTATGATGCATTTAACAATAATACCTTATTTGAATTCGACTTTCTGAAGCAGTGTTTCATCACAACTCAGTCCCCTACTGTGTGCGTCTTTGAACTAACAACAGTCCTTTAAGGAACAGGAGAGGAAAAATACTGATAAGCAAAAGTAAAATTTCTAGCCAGCAGGGGTCAAAGTTGCCAGAGCCCACAATGCATTTCCAGTTGACACATTGTCATTCCCCCCTCATGAAAACAGTGCCCTTTACAGGTTTTTTCTCAAAATGTGGACATCTGAAATGGATGCCTATCAGGAAATGAGGAGAATGTAGCAGTGTGAGCAAAAGCAATACTGAGTCTTCACTGTGTGGGAGGGCAGGAGAAGGGAGATAGTGAATAGCATCTGTGTCATCTCAAGATGTTGATAAAGGGCCCGATCCTGCAAAGGTACCACATGTAGCTTAACTTATGGTGTGCTGGTAAATTCATGATCCATTTGGGCTGATCATTTTTCTCAGTTATATCAGTACAATCCTGTGTAACTCAGTGGGTATAACTGAGTCCAGACTTTAGCCCAGTAGCAGCCATTACACCAGCCAGGGATAGACTGAGTGCAGCACCTCTCTGGTTATGTCTTTCCTGCAGCCAAGACTTACCTATATTTCTCACTCTGCCAAAATGCACCAGCTTTACACCAGCTGAGGATTTCCAATCCCCATCTGTCCAGTGAGAACAGCTTTCTAGTGCAGCTCTCACTCCATGGCTACATCTACACTGCAGGAATTTGTTGGCAGAGGCAATGCAAATGAAGCGCCCATTTGCATTTCTCGTGCTCTTATTTGCATAGTCTCCTCTGATCTGTTTTGCGGAAGAGGTTTTTGCGGAAAAAAACGCAGTGTAGACGGAGCCATTTTGTGCCAAAAAAAATAAACTCTTTGGCACAAGATCCCTTATCCCTCAAAAAAGGAGGTATACAGGATCTTGCACAAAAGGGGGTTTTGCCCTGTCTACACTGTGTTTTTTTTCCACAAAAACCTCTTCCAAAAAATGGATCAGAAGAGACTATGCACATCAGAGTGCAAGAAATGCTAATGAGCACTTCATTTGCATTGCCTGTGCTGACAAATTCCTGCCATGTAGCCATAACCCATGTGTAATTCTGAACACAGCTCAAACATCGTACAGAGAGACCCACTGAGCTTCCCTTCTTTCACAGGAATGTCTGCATTTCATCTGGTTTGTACTGCCTAGAAAGTAGTATGCAGTAATCGTGGGAGAGTGACCAGGAATGGTCAAAGAATGGCAGAAGCATAACCATAGCTGTGCCACTATGACCCAGGAAGGGTCAATGGGATATTACCTTCTTGTGTACACTAGAGAAGACAGAAAGGCACAATGAAAAAGGATAAAAAAGGGCAGAAGACAAGGAAACAGCACCTGACCCATTATAGATGAATGTCATAAGGGTACAGCAGGCACATTGGTATAAGCAGAAACAGGTTTAACTGCTGCAACCCATCACTATTTTCTAAAAACATGGGTAAACTAGCAACACAAAGAATGTACTAAAGATGTAGGATGATCATCATTCCCAATGAAGGAAGGCCAAGCTATAGACACAATACTAATGCCGAAACACCAGGCCTGCCTGTATTATGTAAATAGACAGAATGCTGTTGCCATGAAGGAAAGCAATGAGTGAAGCCCACCCAATGGGTAACAGAAGGAACTCAGTCCTGTAGGAGACTGGACCCTTGATAACAATGGAAATGGATATGGAGTTCGTAGGCAGGAAGGCGAGCAATAAGAACATCTGGAGAAACCCTAAGAAAAAGAGAGATAGTAGGACTTATGAAACAATGACAAGGGACTAGGCCCACTAACATGGGGGTAAAGAGGGCAACAGCCCTGGGGCCCCACAATTCAGAGGGGACCAGGACTCCCAGACAATACCGTTGCTACTGCGGCAGTAGCGGAAGTCAGCACTCTGGGCCCTTTAAATCGCTGTGAGTTCTGTGCAGATCTGAAGACTGAGAGGGGCATGTTATGCTCCAGGGAGTCCAGAGGACCCCTTCCACGCGAAGCCCTGCCCCTTCCTGGAGTGCGGAGCCCAGGGGCCCACAGAGGCTGTCGGTGCCCCTGCAAAGGACATGGGACCCATAGAAGAAAGTAGGGGAAAGAAAGGAAGAAAGTGAAAGGAGACCAGTCTGGGTGTGAGTAAGAGATGTAGAGGAAATTAACAAAACAGATATAAAAAGATAATGTCTAGAGATGAATGGAGATAAATGGTTAAAATAATTGTCACTTTTCTTTCCTACTCCTTTGCTTGCAAGTTGTCTATAAAAATGTTGGGCATTTCAGGGCAGTGAACTGTCTTTCTGCATGTCTGTATAAACTGTGGACTATATAAATAAAATTAAATAATAATAGTTAACACTGGGTTACATCAAACTACAGGCCCCAATTTATTGTAATACCCAGGAATCTTTTGCATCTGTACATGCGAGTTGTGTCACCTATAAAATTCAAAAGATGATCATTTTTCTCTTCATTCAGTGTGAAAATGAAGAAGAGGATAGGGAGATCAAAAAGACTCATTTAGAGCGAGATTGTTCTTCACGATTAATTGCCTCTGCCCCAGGTACTTCAGCAGCAAATCATTGCAACAAGAATGAACATAGGTATGCAATTTCCTTGTTATTTAAAATTTAGTCTCTACAATTAACTAAACCATAATATGATCTGTTCCTTGGCATTTGATAGTGTAGATTTTTTTTAATTATCACATTTTATGTATAAAAATTATCCTAATTAATTTTCTCTCTCTCTTGCTCTCTCTCTCTCTCTCTTTTATTTTTTTA